TGCGAACGTGGGCCTGTGCACTCGAGGAGCAGAAAGGTCCTGCTGAGCTGGCCCAGGGAGCCAGGACGGTAGCCTTTGTGGACAGGGAGCGGGCCACGGAAGGACTCGGACACCGTGGCTTCCAGAATCCAAACCAGAACCTGAATCAGTGCCTCGTTTCTCCCCCAGAGACGGTCCGCCTCCCAGGGTCTGGCCTTGGGGTTGGACGCAGGCTGGCCTCTTTCAGGGGAAGCTTGAAGCGACCCAGGGTGCCACCCACCGCCACCCTCGCCCCCCAGCACGCAGGACCGGCCCGAGGCCACGGCCTTCAAGGCTCAGTTCTACCCACCTCCAAATCCTCTCGTCTTCAGCTCCTCATCCCGGATGATCGTTGGGGTGATCCCCAGGTCTTTTCCAACTTTCTTAATCTCCTGGACACGATCATGGAAAAAGCAACACAAAGACACATGAAAATGGCTTCAATCAGGACGAGGCCGTGGCTCTGGGCCAGGGATGAGCCGACGCCCGCGTGGCGGAGGGGAGCCAGGGCCCCAGCTCTCTCGGCTTTGGGCGTGATCAAATCCAGGACAGAAGGCCCAGCCTCCAAACTACAACTTCCTGCAGGTTCACGGCTGCAGTCCTGCAGAGAGGCCTCGTGGAGGAGGCTCTGTCCTCCCTCCGCCCTCTGCCGAGGCCTGCTGGCCCCTCGCAGCTGGAGGGACAGCAGGACCCTGTCCACAGCCGCCCCACGCTTCCTTGGGTGAGCTGCAGTGACTATGGACACCGTCCCCTCCGGCCTCAGGTTTCCTCTGGCTTCCTCGGGGTCCACCGATGCTTCTCCCACCCTGGCCCCACCTTGGCATGACTGACTCCCCTGGGCCACGAACCTCGAGGAACGTGTCTGTGTTCATCTCATTACACGGAGTGTCCACAATACGGGCAGCCAGCCGCACGCCTTCCGTGGCGTTTGTTAAGCACTGGGGAAGAAAACCAGAGGCTGTCACCGGGGACCTGGGACCAGGCAGCAAAGGCTGGCCCTCCCTCTCTGTTCCCCCAGGGGCCAAAGGCACCGGCAGCACCGAGGGGAGGTTTCGGGGCTGCTGACAGGGCCTCGAGGGGCAGGTCACGCTGCCCGCTGTTGCTCTCCAGTGCCTGTGACCCATCCAGCAGCCTTCAGAAAGTTCAGCGCAGCTCTGTACCTCGCCTCCAACACAGATGACACAATAGCCCTGCAGCCTGGCGTCCCGGCCGGCCGTCAGTGGGACCCACCTTCCTTGCCAAGACTCCTCTGCTGCTTACCCCCTCATTCTGGTGGCAGGCGGCCCCTGGGCCTGGCCCTGAGCACACGCTGGGCATCCCCGCCCCGGCACCTGCCAATCCCACGTCCCCTGCTGGGGAGAAGTGCCGTCCTTTGCTCCTGACTGAACGAACGTCTGTGTCGCCCCCAAACTGGTACCTTGAGGCCCTAACCCCCAACGTGATGCTATTAGGAAGACTTTGAGAGGGGATCAGGTTGCCATGAGGTCGGGAGGGTGGGGCCCACCGTGGGAGTAGAGTCCTCAGTAGGAAGAGGGAGGGCGCGGCGAGAAGGTGACCACCTACCAATCAGGAAGTCTCCACCACACCCCACCCTGACCTCAGACATCCGGCCCCCACAACCGTGAGGAATACCTATCTGTAAAGACGCCCCCCGTGGCCTGTTGCAGCCTGAGCTGTAACACACCCTCCCTTCTCCTCTGGTCAAGGCCCTGGCCATCCTTTGTGGCGCCTCTTGAAGGCCGTGTCCCCCGGAAGCTTCTCTGGACCTTCCCAAAAAAGTATTCTTTGTCCTGCGCCCACTGGCCCTCCTTCCGGCCCTCCGGCCATCAGGGTGGCGTTTTTCTCACCTGAGCCCCAGGTGAATGTGTCACAGACTCCCTGCCCTGTCTTCCTGGCCATCCAATGCCACACCACTCTGGGCACGGGGTCCCCACCCTGCCTCGTGCGGCTCACACGTTGGCCCAGAGCCCAGGAGGGAGCAGGGACCCGACACTGTCCACCAAACTCAGCCCGGCACGGGTGAGTCCGATGCGGACGCTGCCCACCCCCGCCACCAGCCACCCCTCCAGGCCCTGCCTCTAACTTCTGCCAAGAGCGTCTGTCCTGCTCTCGCTTTAACACCGACCCTGGAAGTTCTGTGCCTTCTCGTTCGTCTCCACCTGGATGCCGCCCACGGCGCCCCCTGCCCCACCCCGCGCCCCCCACCACCACCCCATGCTTCAGACACCGGGCTGGCCGGCTGCCTCCATCAGCGCGCAGGGAAGGGGCGCGATCAGAAGAGCGACGGCACAGGTGCAGCGGGGGTACAGACAGCTGGAGCGTGTCATTGCCCTCCCCAGCCCCACAGCGTCGGGGAGGCCAGGCTCGGGGGCGACGGCACCTGCCCAGCCACCTCCTAGGCCCTGCCGAATGGCTCAGAGAGCTCCTGCCATCCCCAGGTAACTACACCCCAAAGCCTCAAAGGCAGAGACGCAGGACCGGACAGTTCAGATAGGAGATGTGACCGGGTGGTCCCCGCCGCCTGACAGCGGGGTCTCCTCTGGGAGGCCGAGGGTCCCTGTCCGCGGCTGTCGCGGAGAACATTGCTCATCTGTGACGCAGCCCGTGGCTGCTGTCTGGGAAGCGTGTCAGTGCCCCAAGACTCGTCTCGAGGGAGGCCAGGCGCTCGGCCAGCAGGCCTCCGTGAGCTCAGAGCTCCTGGTGCGGCGCGGCCGGGCGAGAGGGCCTACGGCACCTGCGGGGGAGGCCGGGGAGGCTCCGGGTGCCCTCCGGCACCCCAGAGCCTCGTGAAGAGCCTGCGCCTCCTCGTGCCTCAGCCTCCGGATCACAAAAGCAGGATCAAGCATTCATTCATTCATTCATTTCATTCCACCCACGTTTCTGGGAGCTCCCGCTGTGCGGCAGGCTCCACACTAAACCCTGGGAATTTGAACGTGTCCACGGTATTCCGGTCCAGCAGAAAATCGCAACACCCCACTCGGTTAAACGCTACAGGGGAGGAGAGGCCACAGGAGCCCGGACGGGAAGAGGACCTGGAGGGGAGTCGAGGGGGGCCCCAGAGTATAGAAAGGGCCACACGGGTTATCAGAAGCTCCTGTGCTCATGATCCAAGACAGACGGGACAGAGGACTGTCGGACGGTGGCCGCGGTTAAGACCTGGCTCTGTCCCTTGCTCGTGGGGCCCCCTTAAGTCACCTGATGTTGCAAAGCCTCAGTCTACCCAGCTCTACAATGGGATTAAGGACAGGCACCAAGACAGGCTGTCGAGAGGATTAAGCACGGGGGTGCATGCGCTAAGAGCAGGTCCTGCTACCCGACAAGCCCTGGAAAACTCCGCGCTCATGTGGCCAGAGGAAGGACGAGCGTCTGGAGGCAGCAAGACCAGCGAGGAGACCGCTGCAATGGTCTAGGAGAGCAGCAGGGGGCGGGGGCGGGGGTGGGGTTCCCCGTGGCAGTGGCAGTGGGCAGAGCAAGATGCCCTGGACGGGGGTCAAGGAGACCCACCAGCCCAGCGGCCCTCGTCACGGGTCGGGCCGTGCTGGGGCTACAGACCGGAAGCTTCTGGAAGCTTCCATCCCAACGTGGGGCACAGAGGCTGAGCAAAGATGTATCACACGAGGTGGGATGGTGCTCGCACTCAGCAGGCAGAGGGCCTGACTGTGAGGGAGGCCATCTCAGCCAGATAGCCAGGCCCCCGCCCTGGGGGGAAGGGACGCGGGCAGAAGCTGGACTGAGACCAGGCAGGCCCAGAGCAGGAAGGACCTGGACAGGGAAGCTGAGGAGGAGGTAGGAGCCTGGCAGGGCATAGGCCAGCAGGAAGTCAGCCTACCGGGCGGCAGGGAGGGAGGGAGAAGTGCTTGGAGGAGTCGGGGAGTGGGGGAGGGGGAGTCCAGGGTGCTGCTCAGGCCCGCAGCCCCAGGGTCTGGTGGAGAGAGGCCCGAACTCCAAAGGGATCCCCGCAGCTACAGGGGAAGGTGGTCATCGGTGCCCGTCTGAGGGATGAGCTCACAGGCCTACGGGAGATGGGAATGCCGGACGGTCGGGAAAGGGATAAAGATATGGCTGTAGGCCGCAGGGGACGTGGGAAGGAGGCACGACTCCTGGGTGGGGCAGACCCTTCCAGGAGGGATGACAAACGGGATGACAAAGGTCCCAGTCCGGCAGACAGGGCCCTTAAAAAAAACAATGTCAGGAAGTGGGGTGGAAACTCCACTCGGTGGGCTGAGGGGGAAAAGGGAGTTCAGAAAGGCAAAACAATTAGCCCGTGTGTTTTCAACGTCTGGAGATGAATGGAAGGAAAGGAAAGGAGCTGTTACGAGACAGTGGAGACGGAAGCATGGCCTCTCCTCCTCGAGCAAAGAATCCAGGTGGAGGGTGAGGGGTGCTGGCCCGGGACAGAAGTGAAGGGTGGGGGTGGGAAGCACAGCCCGGTCTGGCCGGGGACGGGGAGGGTGAGGCCACGGGACAGTCGCCACGGGAAAGGAACCCAACCCCCATACAAGGACTTCTGACTTAGAATCTCTCCCAGCCTTGCCTCACCTCAAAAAAGGATTATCCTGCGGGCGTCTGGGTGCCTCAGTCGGTTAAGCATCCGACTTTTGATTTCCGCTCGGGTCATGATCTCAGGGTGTGTGGGATCGAGCCGGGAGTTCCGGCTCCACACTGGGCGTGGGGCCTGCTTGGGATTCTCTCTCTCCCTCTCTCTCTCTGCCCCTCCCCCATCTCAAGAATAAATAAACTTTATAAAGAAAAAAGGATTCTTCTGAATATCCAATGCAATCACGTGTGTAAAAGTGTACCACGGAAAGTAACGTGATATACACGCGGACGGGATTCTTAGTATGAAATGTGAAAGTGCCTGGCACTGGTTAGGTGCTTGGTAAATACGGGTCGAACAGACTGAATCCTGAAAAGGAAGCCCACCCAGAGAGGGGGCAGCTGCCTGGCTCTGGAAAGGCCTCGGGGGCCTTCTGGGAAGTTGCTGCAGTAGCCCAGCGCCACGTCACCCCCTCCGGAGGCGGGGGAGACAAAGAGAGAGCTCCCCAACTCCCCTTCCAGCTGCCCCCGGCTCGCGCAGGCCCAGGGGCCACAGCCCGAGCCTGCAGACACCCACTTGCAAAGTGGACACCTCCACTGGCCCGTTGTCTTGTCCCACCAGGAAAAACTCCACCGTGACTGTCTTCTTCTCCGTGCGTCTCGAGGCCCCCGAGCGGTGGGTGAAGAGGGGGAAGGCCCGGGCCAGGGCGCACGCGGAGGCGAAGGCGTCCGACCGCTCGCACACCATCTGCGGCACAGAGAGGCAGAGCCGTGAGGAGGGGCAAACCCACGGGGACTGCACTCAGGCAGTGCTGGGGCCTCGAAGCTGGGCCAGAGGCCACTGTGGGTACAATCTGGACAGAGGGGCCCCAACAGAGCCACCGCGCAGGGGCCTGCCCGGAGCCACTTCCTCACTGCGTGAGAAAGGGACACGTCGGCCACCGGATGTGGACCGTCTCCGAGACAGGAGAGGAGGACGCCGAGGGGAATGGGTTCAGGAGTCTGAGATTTGCCACCGAAAATGATCTGGGGTAAATGGCCTAGTCTCTCTGACCTCAGCTTCCCTTCTGTGAGCAGGGGTTACAGTGTCCTGGGTTGTGGCCCCATGTCCACCTGGGAGGTACCGCAGCAGGCATGACACACGCTCCCCGATGGTAGGCGGATGGCCTTCGGCACTCACCAGGATGCACCGATGGGTCCCGGGCGGCAGGCAGGTCCGCACAAGTCGGGTGACGAAGTGGGCAGCGGAAGGGCTGTTGTGCCGGCTCACCCTGGAGGGCAGGGCGGCCACGGTGGCATAGTTCAGGTAGAGGGGACAGCTGTCCGTGGGGTTGGGGTTGAGCGTGCTTAGCGCGGCCTGCCAGAGCTGGATCAGAAGGGGAGAGACCAGAGACAGACACCAGACTTCAAACAGCCCGCATGCCGGGAGCCCGGCCCTGCATGCGGGCGCTTGCGTCGCCAAAAGGGCCCTTTTGCAGCTTCCCCGGGGCACCCACGATCCGTAATTAAGATGTGTGGCATCTCGCTGGAGCTAAGCGTGCGTGCGTGCGTGTGTGCGTGTGTGTGTGTGTGTGTTGGCACGATTCCACCCTTGTGGGATTACACGCTGGGGATTTAAAAGGCCGGCGTGGGGGCCGCCTGGCTTCGAGCTGCCAGCCCGCTCCGGGGTGGGCCCGGCCAGGTGCCGCCGCGAGGGCTTCCGGAAGCGGGCGGCCGGCTCCTCCCCCGCGGGGCCGCGCGCGCCCCTCG